CGGTCAGCTCCGTTTCTCGACTTAGAACATGTTTGGTTAGTGATTTGCAGAAAAGATCAGGTCCCTCCGGAGGGACGGGAAGGACCGTCCGAACTTTACTGTTTGGGGCGGTTCCCGGTGGAATTTTTTGATGAAATTTTTTGACCATGTTCCTCATCAAGTCTAGTTTATCCATACCAAATTTCAGCTCAAAATTCGATCGGGAAGATATTCAAATAAATTCTTGAAACATACTGCACATTATATGTGCGCAGAATGTGCAGTATGTTTCAAGAATTTATTTGACTGCCTTCCCGGTCGAATTTTGAGCTGAAATTTGGTATGGACAAACTAGACTTGATGAGGAACATGCTCAAAAAAATTCATCAAAAAATTCCACCGGGAACTGCCCCAAACAGTGATGTTCGGACGGCTGCTCCCGTCCCTCCGGCTGGACCTGAGCAGTCCTCTAATGATTTGTATCTCGATTTAGACTTTCAATTGTCCCGGAAAATCTGAACATTTCGTCCCCAATTATCCATCATATTGAAATTCCAGACCTCAATTTCAAGTTTTATAAATGTCACCCCAAGTTGTCAGAAGAATTATAAATGTCATCCCTGTCGTTATATATATTACAAACTCAGTCTGTGTTTCATTTTTTCAGGGTTAAATGTGTCATTTCCCATCCTTTGATGTTTAAAGCCCTTAATAGAATACAAAACATACTTCATCCGTTGCTTGGGAATGAAAAACTCTTCAGCCGTTCTTCCCGTTCTTCCTTCGCCCCGAATCAAAAGCTCTCTTCCTTGGTCCTTTCTTTGGCCGTTTGGAGTTTCAAAAAACTCTCTTCCTTCATTTGTTCTTCGTACTCAGGTGCGCACATATATTTTGTTCTTCTTTTTTATTCAAAATTTGAACCAGAGGGTTGAGTGGATGGTATGATCTTTGTGGTTTGATTAATTTTGCAGGACAAATATGTTGACAAATTATGGTATATGCCATAATTGCAGGAGTTCAACATATTTCCTTAATGAATGCCCTAACAATAGAAATTGTCCTACTTGTTCAATTGATATTCAAAGGGGAATCTTGACCTCAATATACCTTCAATATTCGAACGCCATGTGCAATGGAAACTTAGTGGAAAAAATATTCAGAGCAAAGGTTTAAGCTTAACATTTGAATTTTGGAAGGATAAGCATGATTAAAGGGTTGGGAATAACTCGAATTAGGGCTTTAAACGAAAGGGATGTGAAAATACAAATTTAACCCTGAAAAAATGAAAGACATACAGAGTTTGAAATATTTATAACGGCAGGGGTGAAATTTATAATTATTCTGACAACTTGGGGTGACATTTAAAAAACCTGAAACACGAGATCGGGATTTCAATATGGTGGATAACTGAGGGACAAAATGTGTGATTTTCCCTTCATTAAATGTATAATTTTGAATTTTTAATTTCGCTCGTTGAGTTACGATATACTCAAAATAACTATGGTTGAAATCACTTTTCTTGCTGGATTGATCGAAATTACCGTAGAATACTATTTTAACAGTTTTTCATTATTTATTAAGGAAATATGTTGGAGTATTAGGCCGAATGTCGACTCGACTAAATACCACCGCTAGCTCAATCAGCATAATAAGCGCAGTAGTCATGTTTGGAACATGGTCCGACCCGGTGAGCTGCTTGTCTTGCTCGATACACGTGGTTCGCCCGAACCAGAGCTCTCGAACGAGATAAAACACTTGAGGATTTCTCGAGATAGAATATACTCTACTAAGAGATTGGCGAAAAATCAAATATCGCACTTATGAAAGATTTTATAAGTGAGTGTTTGCTTATCGCAATGTCACCTCAACCACATACCATATTGAGACATAAATGCTCATATTTATTTCGTTGAAAAGGTCGACAAACTTACATTCATAGATCAGTCTCTCCATTCTATATCTAACTCTCAATGTAGCTAGAAGTTAGAGGTTTAAACTCATTAAATGTGTTATGTGTATCAAGGAGAATTGGCATGTACCAGTATTCTACCCATTTTTGTCGAGATACCATATTTGACTGTGCGCCGTTTGTTCATAACTTCTCATCCTCACCACCGTCTATACTACCCTTCTGGAGCATAAAAAGTAAAAATACATGTTTTCGGTTTCCATATTTATGCGGCACGACCATAAATTCATAGGAGTAAAATAAAACTACCACCATTTAATTTCGTCCCATTCGTTATTCGATTCATACCAGCCGTCCAGGCATCCAGCACACGCGTACTATACATTGCGCTCACAATGGGAAGCAACAAAAGTGAAATTCATTCTTTTAAATATCTGAGTATTAGTTAATACTACTAATTTATAAGAAGTAATAATGGAAGTATATTATATTAACATAATTAACCTTTAAAAAGATAATAAAGGTCACTATTGGTTACTCCCTCCGTCCCAGAGAGAAGTTCCCGGGTTGACTTTCACACATATTAAGGAAATAAAGTTACTGAGGGGTAAATTTCACTGTTTGACACTGTTTTGACACTGTTTGGCACTGTTTCGACACTGTTTGGCACTGTTTTGCACTGTTTGGTACTGTTTTGATGTAGGATAACTTTCCATTTAGGGAAACGAGAACTTTTTGTTGGGACTACCAAAAAAGAAAAGTGGGAACTTGTCCCTGGGACGGAGGTAGTATTATTTAACGTCATTATAACATACCGACATACGTAGTATGTTAAACGAACCTCGTAAACCATAACAAGCAAAGCAACAATTTTTAAACTACATCGGTCAAAGCAAGCTAAAAATTTTCAAGTTATTAACTGATTTAGGGAAAATTGTCAAATAGGTCCTCGAACTTTCATAAAAAAGTCAATTAAGTCCTTCTATAGAAGACTTTGTCCGGTCATCGCGATTTGGGGCGGTTCCCGGTGGAATTTTTTGATGAATTTTTTTGAGCATCTTATTCATCGAGCCTAGTTTACTCATACCAAATTTCAGCTAAAACTTTAATTGGGAGCGCATTCAAATTAATTCGAGAACGCAAAAATGCGGAGTTATCTTCAAGAATTAATTTGAATGTGTTCCCGATTGAATTTTTAGCTAAAAGTTGGTATGAGTAAATTAGACTTGGTGAATAAGATGCTAAAAAAATTTCATCAAAAAATTCCACCGGGAACTGACCCAAATCGCGACGGCCGGACAGAACCTCCTATAGAAGGACTTAATTGACCTTTTTGTGAAAGTTCGAGGACCTATTTGACAGTTTTCCCACTGATTTATAATAATTCTTTTTCTGGAATAATTATATCAACCTAACTAAAGAGCATATGTGGAAAGAGATGATTGTTCCGAGTAAGGTGCTGTTCTGTTCGTCTTATTCTTATTACTTATTGCTTATTCTTATTTTATTCAGATCAGATCAGATCAGATCAAAAAGATTCAGATCAGATCGGAAAAATTCAGATCAGATCAGATCAGATCAGAAAGATTCAGATCAGATCAGAAAGATTCAGATCAGATCAGACCAGATCAGAAAAATTCAGATCAGATCAGAAACATTCAGATCAGATCAGATCAGAAAATTTCAAACATGATTTATCACTTTTATTATTATATTAATTATTATTATTATTATTATTATTATTATTATTATTATTAATATTGTTATTACTATTATGATTATTATTATTATTATTATATAATTATTATTATTAATAATATTAAAAATAATATGACAAAAAATAAGATATTAATAATAACTATAATATTGTAATATAATCATAGTAATATAAATGCAATTATTAAGAAGACTATTATTTTATTATTATTATTATTATTATTATTATTATTATTATTATTATTATTATTATTATTATTATTATTATTATTATTATTATTATTATTATTATTATTATTATTATTATTATTATTATTATTATTATTATTATTATTATTATTATTATTATTATTATTATTATTATTATTATTATTATTATTATTATTATTATTATTATTATTATTATTATTATTATTATTATTATTATTACAATATAATAATAATAATATGATAAATATTATTATAATATTATATTATAATTATAAGTATAATCAATTTTAATTATTATAATTATATCTATAATTAATTATAATTGTAATTGTAATTAATTATAATTATAATTATAATAATAATCATATTATTATTATTATTATATCATTGTAATAATAATATTAATATAATAATATCGTTATAATAATAATAATTGTATTTATATTACTATTATTATATTATAATATTATAATTAATGTTCACATAATTATAATTATTATTAATTATAATTATAATAATTATAATTATACTTATAATTATATTATAATTATAATTTATGATTATAATTATTATTTTTATTATAATTATTAATAATATTATTATTATTACTATGGTAATTATTTTACGGAGTAATTATAATAATATTGATAACTATAGTTACAATTATAGAGATAAATATTGTAATTATAATTAAAATTATAATTATATAAGTAATTATAATTTAAAATATAATTACAATTATAATTATATCTATATTTATAATTAGTGTAATAGGTATAGTTTGATTCATTTTAAATTTAATTATTATTATTATTATTATTATAGTTAGGATTATAATTATAATTATAATTTTATTTAAATTATATTTGTAATTACAATTATAAGAATTATAATAATTATAATTATAATTATAGAAATATTCAAATCAAATCAGATCAGAAAGATTCAGATCAGATCAGAAGGATTCTGATCAGATCAGAAACATTCAGATCAGATCAGACCAGATCAGAAACATTCAGATTAGATCAGAAAGATTCAGATCAGATCAGATCAGATCAGAAAGATTCAGATCAGATCAGATCAGAAAAATTCAGATCAGATCAGATCAGAACTTAAAAAATTCAGATCAGAAACATTCAGATCAGGCGAAGAGAACAGCTTCTAAGGATGAAGAGCCCCAATCGTTGGACATGCTTCGTATTCAATAATAAGGGGTTGAATGGATTTGGTGTTCAAGTTGAAAAGAAATGCATCCTCTTCTTCTACACCCAGGATAAGGTCAAAAGGAGCCTTATTTTTCTTCCTCCTCTTCTTACTCTCATCATCATTAATCGGAACAAAGGCATCCAAGAAAAGCTTCCTCACCCAATGGATCTAAGAGGCGGTCGTTCCCATCGTGCTGTCCGGTCGGTGTTGGGGGGCCCTCAGGGATGGGGTGTCATCCTTTTTTTTTCTAAGAGGCGGTCGTTCCAGAGTGAATCCAGACTAGTATGGTACATCAAAACCCATTCTTGACCAGCTATGATAGACGGCTGTCGATTGCCACTACCGCGGGTCCCGCGGCTGTCTTCGGTGTCCTTCGGGAGCATAAAAACTCTCATGTAATGGATGCCATTGAAGCCGTCTTCAATTGAAGTCCTTGAAATAGTTAAAGAGGTGATAGGATTATACTACCTCCAAGAAGATTCTCATAGCAAAACGGCACGGTTATTTAGGTGATAATTAAATAAAGTAATTCGGGTATATTTTGAGAAATAATTTTAATATGTATATACGGAGTATTATAATGTGTCAGTATTGATAACTGTGATGTTATAAATGTATTATTTTTAATATTTAATAACTAATTTGTCACTTAAGATTGTTAATTGTTTCCTAAAATGGAAATGAGAACCTTCTAACGGGACCATGGTTTGAAATAGCGGCCCGCTACCGCTATAGCGGCCCGCTACCGCTATAGCGGCCGCTATATAGCGGTCGCGGTAGGGGCCACTACTGCTACGGCCCGCTATTCGTGTGTGATTTTCAAATCACGGGAAAAATCCGCTACGCCGCCCGCTACAGCCCGCTATTGACATTTCCGGCAGTACATCACGAACTGTTTGATATGTAAATATGTAAATGTTGTGTGAATGATGTGAAAAAAATACATTAATGGTGATGCATAGTGTGAAACTCAAAATTAAGGGAGTGTTTGCAAGCTCTAAACAAAAGTGCTTTTGACTTTTTTTTGTAATGAAAAGCCAAAAATGGTGTTTGTATACCCAACTTTTAGATTAAATTAAAGCACTTATAAGTCAAAAGTTCAAAGCATGCTTGGGGGTGCTTTTATCAGCTTATTGGTATTTATGTAAATACTCCCAACTTTGGGTATTGTTATTAGATCAAATATTTTACTAAACCAAAACTACCCTCCCCTCCCTTGATTCCCTGCGGCCTGTCAGAGCATGATGCCTCATGGCCGAATGGCTCTTGTGTAGTAAATGGAGATAGCAAAGGCATTTTTGTCATTAACCAAATATTACATAAAAAATCACTTTTTTCCCAAACACTCCAACTTTTACCTTTAAATTAAAGTTACTTCTATTCCCAAACACTACCAACTTTTACTACAAATCACTTTTCCAATAATCTCTTAAAAAAATCACTTTTAAAAAGTACAAGCAATCGCAAACACTCCCTAAATGTTGTGTGAATGATGTGAAAAAATACATTTATGTTTCGCGCAATTGAAAATATTTCACGCCTCTACAACCGCTATAGTCAGCTATAGGCCGCTACAGGCCGCTACCGTGATGACCGCTACCGCTGCCGCTACGGTTATTTAAAACCTTGAACGGGACGTCCAAAAAAGGAAAATGGAAACCTTCTAACGGGACGGAGGGAGTATAAAGTACCAGTTTTTCCTTGAAAATGGTGCACCAATGGAAAATACCGTTCATCACCAAATAAGGACAGGGAAACGCCCTGAGGTTGTGGTCAGTGGCGGACCCAGAGATTTGTGAGAGCGGGGGCACACTAGACACTAAAGTTAGTGTATAATAAAAACTTCAAATGTAATAAAAATGGTAAAAAAAATGTATTAAATTATACAGAATAGTTAATTACATTCGAAGTATTAAATAGTTTGCAACTGCAACTTTGGTAAATCAAGCCAATGAGTTTTCATATTCAGAAAATGTTGCATAATAGTTTCATTATCGATGTTTCTAAAAACATCTCTCTCGATGTAGCACACCAAGCAATCCGTAAGATAGCCATTTCTTATCTTATTGTGAAGATCTGTATTGATAATATTCATCGCAGAGAAGGCTCTTTCAACGGTGGTCGTTGCAACTCGTAACACTAAAGCCAACTCAATCAGACGATATACCAAGTGAAAAGAATTGTGAACTTTAAGTTCAACAATCTTCTTACAAGCTTCACCAGTAGTTTGTACAGCAGAAAATAACTCATTTGTTCTCATTTCATATATCCACACCTGGAGTTGCTCTTTCAGCTCCATTCGATCAACAAATGAAAAATCGCATGAATATAACTCCGCAAGGTTCAATAGCTATGACTCACAGAAATTGGAGCACTTATCTCTAGGATCCAAACATGCTAAACAAGTGAGTAATTCTGTGTTTGACCCACTAAAGCGATTCTCCATCTCAAGATTGATCTGATCAATAACCTACAATGAAAACAATAGTAATAGTGATTTAGTCAAAACAAAAATAATAATAATAATAATAATAATAGTAATAATAATAATAATAATAATAATAATAATAATAATAATAACAATAATAATTTTAAAGTACCTAACAAAATATCTCTAGGGGGTGACGAACACGTCTAGAACGATGATTCGTCTCTTCCCTAAAGTCATAATTCGTAAACCGTCTACGTGAGGTTTTGTTTTTGGAGAACTTCTATCATTCTAGTCTTCCAAATGTTAGTGGGATTTTAGACTTTTAATACTCCGTAGTTTTAGTTGCCTGCACATTGGCTACTTTTTGGAATTTTAACTTTTTTTTGTTACTTTTTGTTTTCAATTCTTAATTATTATTTTGTTTTTTGACAATTCTATATAACCGTCTGAGTAATTTTTTATTTATATAACCGTAACATTTTAGTATCTTTGAAGCCGGGACACTCATTTTATCTTAAGTACTACTAGTGAAATTCCGGGCTCGAAGTGGGGGCACGTGCCCCACCTAGCCCCCCCTTAGGTCCTCCACTGGTTGTGGTAAAGCCTTGTAGTGTTGGCGGCGATCAACCGATCACTTTGGGTTCGGTGGCCCTGGCACCTGTCTCGGAGGAGTAAGTTTGGATATTAAAAGCTGGCTTCTTCATCATGAGAAGACTCAATTCGAATGACAATATACTTGGCGGCCAGTTCAGCTTCATTCTCTTCGCACATCAGCCCCACAGGTGATCCCATTAACTCATACTTGCCGAAGTAATATTCATTGCCCGGCAGCGGGGGTGGCGGTGGCAGCCTTACGAACCTCCCCGTAACGGGGTTGACAATGAGGAACTCGGGGTGGTTGCGAGCGCCGCTGCAAAGGATCAAACCCTTGGAGGAATTGATGAATTGGCCTAGTTCTCGATACTGCAGGTTCTTGATTTTGCTATTTGCATCTAGAGACAGTATCTTCAGAGTTCTCTCGCAGTCGTAAATTTCCGGTTGGGAGGAATAAGGCCACACTCATATATTTTGGAACAATGCCGGCAAACCACCACCTTGATGCCGCCGCCACCACGTGCTGTCTTATCTCTCAATGAAAAATGGGCGGGAGATCAAATTGTTCCATGTTTTGGATAAATCGGTAAACGGATTTGGGAGGCAGACACAGTAAAATTCCGGCGAGTAGTAGCTCATCCATGGCGGCACGCGGGTGGGTCTGCTATCCAAGGAAGTTTTACGCATGCTATTGCCAATTCTTTTGCTCCATATATAGGTGCAATAATGCTTAGACTGTACACAGTATATATATCTATTTTTGTTTTTACCATGAAATAATTACATAAATATGATTAAGATAAAGATATTTACAAAAATATGACTACTTATTAGAGTAGTACTGAAATAATAGTAATTCTTGTTCAAGTTTTGAACTTAAGTTACTTCATCACTACATTGTAGTAATGAATAGTCTTATTTATGTAAATAAGTTTTATTTTAATAATATTCTTGTAAAAAACTCTTTTACCATTCCATTTTTATTTTTTACCCATTCCTCTCTCTCTTATTTCCATCGCTCCCTCTTCTCTCGTTCTCTTCTCTGTGCACCGTTCCCGTCTTTCTCTTTTTTTTTTTTCAACCTCTCTAACTTATAACCCATTTTCAATCTTCTAACCATTCAGTTGCAATACACGATTCACTTTTGTCTATGATTGATCATTCTTCTCAAGCCATGAGGTAATATGTATTTCCAATTTTTGTTGTGTGTTTAATTTTGCGTTGTTTTTTATTTATTTGTTCTGATTTTATGTATATGTGTATGTTATAACCTTGTATACTTATTAATTCATTTTATTGTAAGAGATATCAGGTGTTAATTTTGAAACTTTTAGGGTAATTACTAGGGGTGGGTTCGTAAAACCGAAAACCGAAAACCGAATCGAATCAAATCGAACCGAGACAAATCGAACCGAGACCAAATAAACCGAGTCGATGAAAAACCGAAACCGAACATAAAAAACCGAACCGAACATGTTTGGTTTCGATTTCGGTTTTAACCCCCAAAAACCAAACCGAAACCGAAACCGAAAAAACCGAAATATATAAAAAAAAAATAAAAAAATCAATTATTTTATATGAAGTGTATGAGCCTGTAATTATAGACAATTGGTGGATCCAGCCAAGGAATTAGTGGTTGAAGCCTGTATGGCATTCCAGTCTCAATTCTTTCCCGTAATATTGGTCACTGTCGTAGCTTCTTGATCAAGTTGTTGCAAATTTTCGGTCATTAGTCTGTGAAGCAGCCTTGACATTTCATTCTTTGATTTTTGGGCAACAGGATCTCATTTTTTATATATATTTGATTGGCTTTTATTTGATATGGTGTAGAGTTTTATGAATGATAGAAATGCCATTAACTTTGATAAAATGTCATTGGTGACTGCTTTTAAATTAGTCTTTGATAAAATGACTGCTTGTGACTAAAAGTCTGTAATTGGAGTCTGCTTTTAAATTAGTCTATAACTTGTTCACAAATTAGTGACACAATAAAAATCAATGACCTGTTGTGTCATGAATGATAGACTTTAATTAGTGTATAACTTTAGTGATTGCATATTTATACACAATTAGTCATTCGTAAATATTTTAGTTATAAACTTTTATTTAATATGGTGTAGAGTTTTATGAACCATAGACTTATTTAGGTGACTGCATGTTTTATTTTCCTGCACTTCAATGTTTTTCTTTCTGTTTTTTTTGCTTATTTGGTTATTTGCAGTTTTGCACATCATTTTTTTCAGAAAGTATATGTCTTTTGGTTTAAAACCGAAAAAACCGAAGTCGAACCGAACAAAACCGAACCGATTGAACCGTGGTTGGAGAAAAAAATATGAACAAACCGAACCGAACCGAACCAAAATTAATAGTTTGATTCTACATTTGGTTTTAGGTCAAAACCGAACCGCATAAACCGAACCCACCCCTAGTAATTACTCTAGGTCATTTATGCCCATGAGATGTTTGTTGAAATGACTCAATGAACAAATTGTTCAAATTCATGATTTTGTTATCGTTTTTGTTAATGTACATCAGTTTAGTGTTTAATGAGTTTTAGACTCTATTTTTTCGGTTTTCCAGTTTTACACTTTTACTATGATATACTAATTGTTGATTAACTATTATTTGATTATTATGAATTGGCTAGAATTTTCTTCTTCTAGGGCTATCTTTGTTTCTAATTTTGCAGGTTTTATGTATGTTACTATAGCGGTAAATGTTGGACTATTAGACTTCGTTGTTATGGAATGATGATGTGTACTAGTCACCATATTGGGTATGTTATAACCTTGAATAGTTGATTAATTTGTTTAAGAAATGAAGTGTTAATTATCGAAATTTTAGGATGATTAGTATAGCTCATTTATGCCCATAACATGTTTGTTGAAATAGCCACTAGTGCAAAATATGGATTCTATAACTAGGTTTTAATATGGGTTCACTTTGAACCGTTGTTATATGTAGGCGCGAGGTCATTTTTATAAATAACAAAAGTTTAAGTAAGTTCAACGGGTAAATATTAGAAATATAAAAAGTTATTGATAACGGTTCTAATTATAACCGACATGATATACACAAACGGGGTCATTTCTATAATTTAAAGAAACTTAATTTCGAAATGGGGTCTGTTTTATAATTTAAAAGTGGCAACCAAAAGATACTTCGTAAGAACTAGGTAAACCTCAACCTACGAACAAAACTGCTCCCATCCTTAGCGCCGCTGCTGCTGAACAATTTCTACGAAGAGGACTTGGACGAAGACGACCCCGAGGCCGCTGCTCCCATCCTTCTGCCTAAGCGCCTCTGCAGTCTCCTCCTGACGATTTCGACCGCCATAGCAGGCCGACAACTTGGACGAAGACGCGGCCGCTGCTCCCTCCGACTTCGACAAATACTCTGCTGCCGCGGCTCCCTTCGGCTTCGACTCAGTCAGCTCTCTTCCAGGTCACTTCTCAATTTTCTCTTTAATGGCTATTCCCTCAGTTTCCAGGTCATTTGATGCTAATTTGTAAACTCAGAATGATTTAGTTCAGTGGCCTGAAACTAGTCAAATAAGTGATTTCTGGGTTTATTTACCAGACCTACTTAACTAGTCAAATAAACATTCTACTAAGCCACCAAACCACATGAAAAGTGCTAGCTCCTACGGAATATATTGTTTTCAGCTTTTAGTTTATGGTTATTTATGCAGCCAATGGATATAACTCATTAATTAGTTGTCAGTTTACAAATTTCTAGTAGCAAGTGGTTTTTGTAATATGTTTATAAAAATACTCAAGTCAACTTTATTATTACTTCCAAATAGCAGTGATAATGTCCTTTAAAGGTGGAAGATAAATAGCTCAATTATTTCTGAAATTGTACTACCCCAAAAATTATTAAATCTGATTAGTGATCATTTAAAAGAAGTAATGGTGATCTACTAAATCAATGCTTTAGGCATCCAGATAATAGTAATTCTGGTGTTGTTTGAAGTAAGGCTTCATCAAGTGAAATTGTTGATTAAGAGCTGTAGTCAATGTCTGCTAGTAAAATTGAAGTGATACTCTGATTCGTTTGCCCTAGAACTAAAATAACAATTATGTGAAAATGATTTAAGGTGTATTGTTTGAAGTCAATTTTGGCTGCATGTGTGTACCTGAAGAATTCGTATACCATTCCTAGATAGTACGGAGTATAAGTTATCATAAACATCTGTGAATATTGCATTACCATAAACATCATGTAAGTTTTTAATAATCAATAAGGAATTGGTAGTATTCTCTATGTTAAAAAATTGTGTTGAAAGTAGTGTGATGTAAACGTATATAGTTTTCATTGTCAACAATTGGTATGCGATACTTAACTTTAAAAGAATTGATGTTTGGTGGTGTATTTGACTATTTGAGTACTACTAACCCGGAATATTTGTAAGCGACATTTTACAGAACAATATGTAGACGTTAATTAAGGCTATTGTTTGTGGGCGTGTTAAAGCTCTTTATAAGTGTGTATGTGATAAAAATAGGCATTTCAGGTTTGACTGCTCTGGTTACATACTCTGTGTCATAATTTAAGAGTTAATATAATCACTTTTTCTAGGTTCTGAAGAGCTATTGGAGATATGTTTGGGTAAACGAATGCTGAGTGCATTAATCCTTGAAGTATGGATCTTGTAAGTTTAAATTATCACCCGTGGAAGTTTAATGTGTATTTCCCTTGTCAATTTTCAGTTTTAAACTTGAAATAATACTTGGACAAGGAACAAAGAAAAAAGGAACCCAAAATTCTAGTTTCTTGCAGCCATATGTACACACAAAAACTATATTTACATACTCCCTCCGTTCCTTAAAACTTTGCCAACTTTCCTTTTTTGGATGTCCCACTAACTTTGCCACTTTCTCTTTTAAGTAAAGAATTTGTGGTTTTTGTTAATTCTCTCTCCTCTGCACAAATCTCAACCACACAGTTTTTACTTTATTAATCCCCGTGCCGGTCAAACTTGGCAAAGTTTTAAGGGACAGAGGTAGTATATATATATATATATATATTAATAAAAAGCAGAAAAAAATTAAAACTAATAGCAACTGTGAAATAAGAGATGTAGCAGAATAACGGATGTGGCCTGGAGTCCAGCTACCAGCCCCACCTAACCCCCCATTTATATGTACACACAAAACTATATTTACATACACACATATATATAATAATAATAATAATAATAATAATAATAATAATAATAATAATAATAATAATAATAATAATAATAATAATAATAATAATAATAATAATAATAATAATAATAATAATAATAATAATAATAATAATAATAATAATAATAATAATAATAATAATAATAATAATAATAATAATAATAATAATAATAATAATAATAATAATAATAATAATAATAATAATAATAATAATAATAATAATAATAATAATAATAATAATAATAATAATAATAATAATAATAATAATAATAATAATAATAATAATAATAATAATAATAATAATAATAATAATAATAATAATAATAATAATAATAATAATAATAATAATAATAATAATAATAATAATAATAATAATAATAATAATAATAATAATAATAATAATAATAATAATAATAATAATAATAATAACAGAAACAAAATAAAACTAATAGCAACTGTGAAATGAGAGATGTAGCATAATAACAGATGTAGCAGAATATTGGTTAGAATAACGGATGTAGCAATAAGGCTTCTTATTTTTTTTCATGAATAACACGATTAACCCTGTCCAATATTTATAGTTTTTTACAAACTTAAAAAAGTATTTATGCATTGGGATTTTCATTCATTGTGCTCAAATTTGCAGTTATTTGTACAAGCAGTGTGTCCAAAAGAATATGAAAAATACATATGGATTTTTTGACCCTCATTCCATCCAAGAAGTGGGAAATAAACCTGATGAAGTCCAAACATACATATTGTCTTACCTCGGTGAAGACAAGGAGTGTTATCTATTCCCATATTACTATCCGTAAGCACAAGATTATGGCTTCATTTAGTATATATAAAGATGTGTGACTAATCATTTTTTATTTCAGCAATCATTGGCAGTTGTTTGTGCTATGTCCTATGCAGAATTCAATTGTCTTTTTGTGCTCCTTGGGAAATAAGCCAAAGAAAAATATAAAAGAGTCTTTTGGATTTGTGAGTTATAATTTCAGTTTGTCATTTTATTGTCATTACTAATTTCAAAATGACTAATTTGAGCTACTTTTTATTAGGTCTATGCAAGCGCATCAAATGACTAAAAATAAAAGGAACTCTAAACCAAAATGGATTCAACCAATGGTAACCACTACTCCACTGTTTCTTGTAGCTTATTTTGAAGTTGTGGTCATAATCATGAGGTATATGCTTAAACGTGCTTTTATTATTGACATCAAGGACATTTGTAAGTATAGCTAATTTTGTTTTAAAAAAAAAATCCCTGCGCTTTTGTATTTTGCTACTAACTTCATATTGTTAGCTTTGCGTTGTTTTATTATTTTTTAACTGCCTTTTACCGATTTATAGGGATTCTGTAATTATGATTTATCAATCCATTTATTTGTAGTCTCGAATGCAAAGGGGGGGCTATGAATGTGGGTATTACGTTATGTCTACTGTTATTTCTGTTGGTGTTGCTAATTTATGGATGGAGGTAATAATTTTGATTATAATATTTCATGATATTCAACCACATGTATACTGTTGCGCATAAATTTATATTTGTCATTGAAAATGTTAATTTATTTATTTACTTCTATTATTTATTTGCAGACATTCAACAATCAAGATTCCTTTAGTGAAAATGACATTAATGAGACACGAGAGTGTTGGGCGTCTTTTTTGTGTGAAGCTATGAGCATTTGAAGTCATTTTTGAAGTTATTAGACTATCATTTTGTTGAAGTCATTTTTAAAGTTATTAGACTATCATTTTGTTGAAGTCAGTAGTAGTATATGATGATACTATTGAGTTAGTAAGTAGTATGATACTCTCATTTTGTTGGAGTTTATAGTCTGATACTTGAATGTTGTTGGAGTTGCTATGAATTTTGTTGAAGTTTATGATACTATTGTTAATCTGGAATTTTGTTGCTGATTTTGTTTCAATTGCCAAAAATGTATTAGAAATATAATTGTGACAGTACAATAACTACTAAATGACATTAAATACCAAAAGGCTAAATGATGGTTAGCTTGTAGTGAAGAATTAATAACGGTTGAAATGAATCCGTCATTGTACATTCAATAACAGTTTAAAGCAACCTGACATTAAATACATTGCATATTAGTTGTAATCGAACTGACATTAAATGTTATAATAACGGTCTGTATCAAACTGACGTTAAATGTTTTAATCACGGTTATATATAACCCGTCATTAAAAATTGGACATTTGATAACGGTTGTCACACCCGACATGAAAAGGCAATACTTTTAATGAGTATGGAAATCATGTCGGGAACAGAACCGACATTAAAAGTCCATTTTAACCGACATTAAAAGCCATTTTTCCACTAGTGAGCTCAATGAACTTTTTGTTCAAATTCATGATTTTGTACTCGTTTTTGTTGATGTACATTAGTGTTTAAGAAAATCGTGGCCATTTTATTGCAAATCAAAGTCATTGAGATCGTGGCCAATAGCTGCCAGCTCTATACTGCTCGTGATATATATATTTCAAATTTTATTTCTACCTTGCAATAAACATGACCAGGTTCAATGCCTGTTTAAAGTGGTCAACCTCCGTCCAAGCAGGGATGTGGTTGTTCTTGTAGCCATTATCATTTTCATCAGGTTAGAGGTGTAAGACATGTGACTTGTAGAGATGGCAATCTTATTCCAAGTTACCGGTTGATGGTTAGCTCAGGCCTTGCAAGTGAACTACGTTTTATTATGACCCAATTTTTACACTCGTTAGTAATGTATTTTTTAGATGTCTTTGAGTAACCTGACATTTTACACTCTGAATTCTTAATCATTTTCATTTAGGATCCAAATGCAAACAACTTGATTGCAAGCACAACCTTTTATTCAGAGTACATTAGCCATGCTGTGTTTGGTGAACTTTACAGGAGTTCCACTTTTTATTTTCTCAATGTAAAATATATATTATTGCTTCATTGAAGGATTTTGAAGGTTTTTTTTTCATGAAAAGCCATATTTCATTATTTTATAATAATCATTGTTTGAATACTTCGTTATTAGTCATTATCTCTATGTAACTATTTCTATATCTCACATGAGTTTTGCAGACATGGATCAACGCGAAGGGTACATGATGATCTTATGAAGATGATGATCTTATGAAGAAGAATGCCAACTAATTTAGTCATAAGTGGAGCTTATCTAATCTTATAGAATTGGATGATCTCAAATTAGTTTCTCTTAGATTAGTTAGCATTGGAATGTTGGAATGTGTTGACATTTGGGTTGTAAATGTACTGCTTGTTTCTTTTAGATTAGGTGGCATTGAGATTTCCATATTGGAGTGTATATGACATTTGGGTTGTTAATGATAATGTTTGTTCTCGGTAAAGGAGCACTTTTCATTTCACTTAAGAATCAAAGACTTTGTAAATACATATCTATGTGTGTGGTGTGTGGTGTATGTGTAAATCTGTAATTGTTGTTTGGTTTTAATGGAACTTTGAGGTTAGATGAATCAGTTGAAGTTATTGTAGAATACATAATATTATTTCAACTATTTTTTGTAACCAGAAACTTCATGTCGTGTTCACAGACAATTCCAATTAGCACATTTGCCTATTTCAGTGACTATTGCCTGTGGCCAGATATTTCATGTCTCATTCACAGACAATTCCGCTTAGTACATTAATCTGTTTAAGTGGCTATTGTCTGTAACCAGACAGTTCATGCCTGGTTCACAAACAATTCCGCTAAGCACATTAGCCCATAAGAATTGCCTGTGAAGTAGACATGAAGTGTCTGGTTACAGACAATGACCACTGGAACAGACTAATGTGCCAAGTGAAAATGTCTGTGAACCTGATATGAAGTGTCTAGCCATAAACAATAGCCACTTGAATGACTAATGGGCTAATTTGCTAAGTGAAATTATCTGTGAAGCAGACATGAATTGTCCGGCTACAGGCAATAGCCATTGGAATGAGCAAATGTGCTAATTGGAATTGTTTGTGAACATGACCTGAGGTGTCTGGTAACAAACAATAATCACTGAAACAAGTTAATCTGTCAAGTGAATTTATTTAACCGCGCGAGATTCTTAATTTCATGAACAACTATTGTCCATAGATATAATAGAGAATCAAGTATGATTTTTTAGGTAAGTTTGTTTTTCACACAAACCACTTGTATTAGGGCATATTAACGTAACTTGTGTATAAGAAAATTCTAAAGTTAGTTCCAACCGAGACCATGTATTATCTTTTAGTTATTTTGCAAGATATTTAACACTTTCATGATTCACATCTATTTTCAATTAATTTAATAGTTACAACAAATACAAATTAAATATAACAAAGTATCATAGTGAGAGATTTTATTCAACTTTTCAACTAACTTACCACATAGTTTAAAAACATAATTGACTTCACCAACATTGTAATATCATTTTCTTTGCCCCTTTCATGAAAAGAGAGAAGATAGAGAAGTGTTGAATACAACATTGTAAATACAAGAACAATAGTTTTACAGTATAATGAGGATCATGTGGGATAGTATTCCTCAAACAACCTCCTTGACACTTAACAAGTATTGAATTTTTAGTATTTTGATTTCTTATATTTCCTTTGTTACTACTTGCCAATATAAATATATACTTCCGGGTAATTATTTTTTTTTTAAAAATCGTTTTATATTTTTTTTACATTGGCCCGCGGGCCAACCTGTTTAACCCACGGGTTAGGTGGGTTGGGTTAGAGTTGTAGAAATCCTGACCCGTTATTAAACGGGTTGGCCTGACCCAACACACATAAAGCATAACTTGTTACGGATCGGGTTGGCCCGTTTGACAGCTCTATTTGTTGTGTTAGAGGCAGTTTGGCAACATTGTTATTCGGCTTATAAGGTTTGTCAGCCAATTTTTTCACCAAACACGTAACTTTTGTTTCGCGCGTTGAATTGGGTAATAAGCTGAAAAAGTAAGATTGAAGTTATTTTTCTGGCTGTATCGGCTGAAGTTACGACCATTTTAGCTATTTTTACATATAATTATTTCTTAATTTTGTTAGTAAAATATATTTTAATTTTTTTTTCTTAAAGCAGCAGAATCGGCCAATGCATGCATGTAGCCACTTCAGCCAGAACTTCATAAATTTTAGCAGAATCAACCAAATCACCCAATTTTCGTGCTACCGATTCTTAATTGGCTAATCTAACTTTCTGCAGACCTTGAAATAATGCTTTCTATGAGACTGAATTATAAATTTGAAGCATTTCCTATTTTCGTTATTGCAATTTGCAAAGAAGAAAGTAAGCTACATATACCAAATGAATTTTCCCCATCTACTTAATTTCCAGATTTTGGAATTTAAACCGGAGGGAGTAACACCTGACAATGCTGACATCTCAAGAATTATTGGTTAAACGGACCAAATAAAATGTGACAAGCAAATCAACAGAGATGCATGTATATTAGTATATACATAACAAAAACTGAATATTTATATGGATATCATATTCTCACACCAAACCAAGAAGTTAGATGAATACTTCGTACCGTGTTCATGAAAGAAATATAATAATAAATCCGATCCCCTTCATCTTATTCGAGATACAGAGGCAGCAGAAGTTAAATTACACTATCAATCAATATCAAAGATCAGATTATTAACTGAATAATAAGTAATCAGTAATTATTTCAACCTAAAGAGCATATGTGGAGAGAAAAGGTGGTTCTAAGTAAGGATGAAGAGGATAATTTTGCACGTAATGACCCTCATAAACCGGAGAACCTTCATATTCAAGGTAATTAATAGATTCTGTGTCAAGGTGGAAAAGAAACGCTTCCGCATTTTCTACCCTCATAATAATGTCAAAAGGAGCCGTATTTTTCTTCTTCTTCTTCTTCTTACTATTGTTATCATTTATGGGAACAAAGGCGTCCAAGATAATCTTCCTCCAAGGTTGTTCCCACTTCAATGGAATTAAGAGGCTGTCATTCCATAGAGAATCCACTCTAATATCATACTTCAATACCCATTCTTGACACGCAACGAAAGACGGCCGCGGTTGAATGTCCTTCGGGAGCATGAAAACCTTGATGGTTTTCCTTTCCATGCGGGCGAACCATAACACATCACCAGCGTCAATGGGGGTCCTTCTAATAGTCGCCGCAGAGACGGTAATGCCACAATCATCCGAGATTTGGATGATCTGGATGTGCTCTTCCGCGGGACGGTAAAGTACCAGTTTTGTCTTTTGAACGGTGTGCCAGTGGTAAATACCGTTCATCACAAAAGGGGAACCGGGATCCAAGTAAACTCGGAGGTTGAGGATTGCAGTGTGGGCGACGATCACAGTGGGTTCGGCGGCCCAGGCGCCTGTCTCGGAAGAGTAAGCCCGGATCCCAAAAGTTAGTTGACACTTATTAGGAATAGACTCAATTCGAATGACGCTAAACTTGGCGGCCAATTCAACTTTATTCTCTACACACATCAGCGCCACGTATTCATCTTGGGCCGGAAGCGGTGGCGGTGGTGGCAGCGTTACAAACTTCCTCGTAACGGGGTTGACGACATGATACTCGTGGCGGTTACGAGCGCCGCTGCAGAGGATCAAACCGTTGGAGGAATTGATGAATGAGCCTAGTTCTGGAGACTGATTCCTGATTCCGCTATTTCCATTAAAAGACAGTATGTTCAGGAAATCCTCGAAGCTTTCCGGTTGGTAAGGATAATAAAGCCGCGCAATTGTATTCTGGAACAACGCCAGCAAGCGCCGACCACCTTCACGCCGCAGCAAATTGCTGTCGTATCTCTCAATGAAAAAGGGGTTGAAAGTGATCGTATGATTCCATGCTTTGGACACGAGCCTGAATCTGTAAACAGATTTGGGAGGAAGACGCAGTAGAATTTCCGTAACTACGTCCTCATTCATGGCGGCTCTGTGCTATTCAAAGGAAGTTCTGTGAACGCTAGCTATTCCTAATTCGCAATCTGCGCTGGGTATATAAATAGGGTATTGCTTTATGCACCCCTAAATTTGCTTGGCGCACCAATTTTAGACATAAATGCCCTTTCATCCTTTTTTAAAGTCAATTCATATCCGTATGAAGTAGGGGTGGGCAAACGGGTCTTGGAACCGCGGTCCGGTCCGGGTAATGGCGGTTCGGGTCCAAAACGGGCCGGTTCCACTTTTTGTTGCAAGAAAACAGTCCGGGTAGGTCCGGGTAATTTATTTTTAAGACCCGGACCGGTTCCAAAATAAAAAAATACCGGGTACCCGGTCCGGCCCGTTATATATATAGTGTAAAGTAATTTTTTAATACACTGGCCTCTGCCAAGTTAGTTTACGTAGCCCATTAGGTTGTGATTAAAATGACTTGTTTACATTTATAAATAGTTAACTTTGTCCTTAGATATTACAAACTTTCTATGTTTACTGTTTAGTGATTATGATTTGCACATGCCACATGGGCATTCATCGTCCTACAGTCCAGTAGGAAAGAAATTCATCAAGGACTTGTTTAATTCCAACTTCGCCAATCGGTTGTTCACTGAAAGTATGAAAATTCATATCAAGTGAAAATTTCATATAAATAGGATTTAGTAATTGATGACCATATTGTTTGTGAACTTAGATATATAAAGTTACTAAGTATTGAAATTGTCACTTGTGTTTAATGTGTACCGGTATGTTGTTATTTTGAAACTTGTCAATGTACTATATTATTGATCATTGATTATTGTTTTTTTGAACTTTGGAAGTTTTTACTATTTTTAAGACATGGAAATAGGAACCGAAAAACCCGATCCGGACCGACCCGTTTCAAACGGGCCGGGTAAGGTCCGGTTCCTATTTTGAAAAATGCAATACTCGAACCGGACCGGACCGTATAATGGAACCGGCGGTTCCATTTTATTTTACATTACCCGCCCCGACCCGGCCCGTGCCCAGCCCTAGTATGAAGTATGAAGCTCTTTGTTTTAAATATCAATACTCCGTATAATTGCAACTTCAAATTTAAGATCAAACACAATGAAGGGACTTATTTAAAACAAATCTTGAGGGAAAGTAGTTTTGATCTTTATTACTCCCTCCGTATTCAAAAGTTCCTTACACTTTCTATTTTGGGATGTATTTAAAAATTCCCTACACTTTCCCTTTTTCGTAATTTTTTTCTTTAAAAATACTGAATTACCCTTATTTTTTCTACTTTTTATCTACCCTTTCCTAGTTTTTCACATTACCTCCTACTTTTTCTATATTATTTATTACCTTTACTATTCTACATTAAATCTTATGCTATAACCAAACAACGATGAGAGTACAATAAATATATATTTTTGTACAATAAAAAGAAGGGGAAATGTGTAAATATACTCCTGAAGTATATGTGAATGTGCAGATATATTCCTGACTTGTAAAAGATACAAAAATACTCCTAATGTTCTTATAAAGGAACAGATTTACCCTTACTGCCTTTAAATAAATAAAACAAATTAAAAAAAGCAAAAATAAAATTAAAAACTAAAAAATCGAAATTTTAAAAAAAATTAAAGAGTTTTTTTTTTGTCGTAAAAAATTTAAAGAGTTAAAAATGAGGATTTATTTTTATGTTAAAATATTAACTCTTTATTTTTTGAACATTATGTGAAATAAAAACGTGAAATGTCATAAATGATACGGAGTAAATGTAATGACATTTTGTGATTGATTATATTAGGGTTTGATTATGTTTTAAAAATATTTTTTTTTTGAGGTAGATATGTCAATAAATATAGAGGGGAGGTCAAAAAGTAAAACCAATTTATGAATGTTGTCAAATAGTAGAGTGATAATAATGTCTAACATTTTTTTTGTCTAACATCCAACAAATACGAAGTACAGTAAGAGCTAATAGATGTGCGATTAAACCAAGACGTGCGCCCAGCAAATAAGAGGACAAATTAGTCCATTAACGAGCAAATGTAGGCGCGCCCAGCACATTTGGGGGTGCGCGGAGTCGCTCCGTATAAATATGGATACGTTATTTTCCTAATTAGCTTTGATCATTTACTTTTGGCAACAACTTCAAATTGTATTACCAACTCCAATTATTACTACGTTTATGCAATTACGTTTATTGGGTCTATCTGATGCGGCGGCGTATAAGTTTTAAATCAAATCAAATGGATTTTGTTTTTTGCTTTCTTCTACAAATCTTCAATTAATAATGTCGAGAACAAATCTATTTATGGAAGATGTAATATTTCAAGGTTTCATCACTAGAGTTGGCTTCCCCGCCTTCATCCGGGCAAACCTCCATCATCTTCTCGATCTTGGTCCATTTTCCATCCCAAAATTAGTGCGAAACCAAGAGAAAAACAAAACAAAGAACCCAAGGAGAAGCCAAGAAGAACAAGATAAAAGTGGTTATTCTTGATAGAGAAGAATGCTTAGAAAAATTAATTATTCTTGATGCTTAGCAGAAGCTACAAGTGTATTTTGTAAATAAATTTTTAAGTATGCTCATAGAGTCATAGGTTAAATTACACATATAAGCTCAATCTCCCTAATATAAGTTTGTTTCTTTTGATTTTGTTTAAAACTAAGTAGCACGGAAACGGGAAACGTGAAACGGGAAACGGGAAACGGGAAACTCAAGAAACGTGATTTCTAGAAAACATAGGATACGAAACGTGGGGGAAACGCGTAAATATTAACAAATATAAGGATATGTTTGTAAATATTTTTTCACATATGTACACCGATTTTTTCATTATATATATCCAAAATATGCACATGATATTTTCATATAACTTGCTTAATAGTCCAATAATAAAAACATTCTACATGTTCAAATCAAAAAATAATTATACATTACTATATAATTAAACACAAAATGCAATTCATTCGTAGCAATGCATTGCGTTATGAAATGCCACAATGTTGCTACGATGAAAATCACAAAATTAAATCACTATTTTTTTAAAAGACACTGTTTTCCCTCATGACCTTTTATAAAAAAAATTGAAAATACAGGGTTTCCGAAACGCTAATTATTTAGAAAATCGGGTTTCCCAATTCTTCTTAATTACAGAAACGGCTCCGAAATGGGAATTTGAAGTTTCCGAGTTTTCGACACGCTTCCGAGTTTCCGAAACGGGGAAACGTGAGCCGCGGAGAGTTTCCGTACTTCATAGGTTTAAAATGACTATTTAGCTTATAATATTTAAAAACTACTTTTCATGTTAATGACTGTTGATTTTTTGTTGTTTCATCTTAAGGAACACTAAGGATGTTTTCTTTTGGACTGAAATTTTCTGGTCTGGTCTGGTCTGGTCCGGTCTGAACTGGTCTGGTCTGGTCTGGTAAACGTCTGGTCTCTGTGTATTTTATAACTACGGAAGTCTGGTCTGGTCTGGTCTGGTCTGGGACTAAAAACAGTCCAAAAGAAAACATCCTAATTGGATGATGGCTGGAACACTAATTGGATGAGTGAAAAATCTATAAAGGGCCAATAAAGGTATATGAGTGATTATAAGTCACATATAGCTAAAACTCTAAAACCTATGAACCGTTGAATTATGATCTTTCTTTTCTTTTATGTTCATTTAAACAAATTAAAATGTTTCTTTTCATTGTTCATGATTTAGTGGAGGTGTTAATAAGTGCCTAACTTTTTATGGCACCCCGAGCTTGATTTGTTAAGACAAAATTTGATTCTTCTGAACTTTAATAACTTTGTTATGCATAAACGTCCATGCACAACCCTGCAGTTTAATTGCTCTCGCTTTGACTACAGACACTGGCTTTGGCTCAAAGAGTTTCAAGATATCCACACTAGATACTCCAGAAAAGTTAATGACCATTTTCCATCAGCTGATGCAGAATCATTCACATGGAGTTGGCTGTCAGAAAATGTTCTATATAGAAAAGTTTTGTTTTGTATCTTTCTTACTTATTACTCCGTATGATGGTATAACCTATGCGGAAAGTGAATTGCTTTTTCATTCTGACGAGAACAGATGTTACTATTTTGTCTAGACGTTTATTGCTTTGGTTAGAATTAAAGTTGACTAAAAAGCTCAGGTGGCACTGAGTGTTGAGACTATATAAAATTTATGAATAACACATCGATTGCATGTTTTAATTCTCTCCAAGTTGGTTAATGTAATTTCTTATTTTAAATGTGTATATTTGAGTTTTTGTTAATTCCATTTTAGAATTCCCTATTTTTGGTAAACCTGTGTTCTAAAATATGTAGAAGACTTCTGACGTGCACTTTGTCGTGATGTGCGTCATAATAATAAATCAATACAACACTTATACGTAGTATTAGCGTAGTAAGGTTCGTATCCAAAGGGAAAGGAATACTTCTCTTTTTAATAAAATAGTAACAAGGGAGGATTTAGATTGATTTGATTTAATTTAAATAACACTAAGATGAACGACTTATGTGGTTTACTTAATAGAGATGAAGACTTGATTTTGCTTTTATCCACTTACCCCCTGTATGGTTGGGGGATTTTGGAGGGGAGGGAAGGGGAGGATTAATTTTTTACTATACTAATTTATCTGAATTTGTTAGTTTTTGACTACAAATAAATATATAAATAGTTAAACCATGTATTTTTATATACTATTGTGTCCTCATTTTATTTCAATTTCTCTAAATGTAAAAATTATTTTAAATTTAAATAAGATCACTCCCCTTCCCTCCCCTTCAAAATCCTCCAACCAGTGGCGGATTTACTATGGGGGCAGTGGGGGCAGCTGCCCCCTCTCAATCCCCACCCAAACCCTATGTATATATATTTAACATAAAATAATATTTATATTTATATGCGTAATAGAGTATTATATACAATTATTACGCTAAGTGTTCCATAGGTTATGTTGGTTTAATGGGAAAGCCTAATTTAGGCGGATGTAGTTATCCTGAGGTCGGGTGTTCAACCCCCAGCTTTAACATTGTTTTCCTTCTTTTGCTTTTTATTATCTTTC